CAATTAACTATTATTAATTAAAGTGTAATACATTTTTAATTCAATCTTATCATAAAAAAATAATTCCTAAATTACGCAAGAATCAAATTATAAGATTAATTAAAGCGTATGATTTGAATAAATTAAGCGCAAATCCTTTTAATTTGTAAATATTATTCAAAAATTTGAATCGATTAAGTTCAACCATTGACAAGAACGTATTAATCGAGTTAACTATTTATAATTAAAGTCTACTATCCTTTTAATTCAATTTTAACAACAAAATAATAATTTAATTCGTAAAATCGTAAGAATCAGATCGTAAATCGTAAGATTTAATCTAACCATGAACCGATTAAATCTTACGATTTTTACCAATTAAATTTTATTATTTTTTATAATAAAATTCAATAAAAAAAGGTTACTAAACTTTAACTATACACAGATTGATTAATATGCTATTGTAAATTATTGAGTTTAACCGATTCAAATATTTGAATATTGTCTACGAATTGAAATGAGTTGAGCTTAATCGATCAAATCTTTGAATATTGTTTTTGAATTGAAAACACATGAGTTTAATTGATTCAAATATTACGATTTAATTAAATCTTACAATTTACGATTCAATTCAAACTTCAAATGCTTTCGAAATTAATTTTTAACTTACACGAGTTGAACAACATTTCCTTAGATTTTTAAATTATATTATATAAATATTTGTTAGTATGAGATATTTTTAATATATAATAATAATAATTATATGAGAATTAATAATTTATTTAACATTATTTATATAAGTTTTATAACCATTATAAATTGTAGCTCTGTAATATATATCCGTATTGTTAGTTTATTGTCAATTATGTGTTGTGTCTTAATGGTAAGTATTCTTGTATGTTTTCAGATGGTCACAGGTTCGAATTTAGGTTGATGCAATTTTGGATGGGTGGTTTAATGATTTTTACGAATAATGATATAATTGACGTTATAAATTTTAATTCAGCAATAAATATGTATTTAAAATTGCATTAAAATAGAGAGGGTAAAATTGACATTTCATTAATAATTTATAATTGCTGATTTTTTTAAATAATAATTGTAAAAAGGGTATTTGCGACAATATATAAATGGAGAAAAAATAGGTTTTTTTTGCTGGGACACGTGGCGCAATATAAAGGGTATCTCATAAAAGTTTAGAACATGGGATCTCACCCTAGAAAGACCCTAAATTTGTAGCCCACTGAAATTATTATAGGTTGAAAGATGACTACAATTACCACATTTCATGTTTTATTAATTAATTAACAACAAAATTTAAATACTTGAAAGAAAAGATGGCACTACGTACCTCGGAATTGACATAATATTAGAAACCCCAACATTAAATAATGTTGAAAATAAGATTGTGTCCAATATTAAATAATATAATTTAATATATACTAGAATAAATTATAATAATTATAATATATACTAATTGTTTATGAATGTGTGTCCACTTTCTTTTCACAAGTCCAAAAGATTTTCACAACTTTTCATAGTTTCATATATTCACTATTTCTTCCTCTCCCAACAATTAATCCATTACTCTCCTTCAATGGCTCAGGTATTCTCTCTCTCTCTCTCTCTCTCTCTCTCTCTCTCTCTCTCTCTCTCTCTCTCTCACACACACACACGCACACACGCACACACAGTGAAATTAACATGCAATATTCGAAATCTGTCTGATTTATGGTGAAAACAGAAGCTAGTATTGAAGGTATTGACGATGACTGATGAAAAAACAAAGCAGAAAGCCATAGAAGCAGCTGCTGATATTCTCGGTACCTTTTCTCATATATATATATATATATATATATATATATATATATATATATATATATATATATCATCTTCATTCAATTGGTGTTGTATATATTATTAAAATTAAATGGAAAAAAAACAGGGGTGGATTCGATAGCAGCTGATCTGAGCAGCCAGAAGCTGACGGTGATCGGAGAAATGGACGCGGTGGCGGTGGTGAAGAAATTGAAGAAAGTGGGTAAAGTTGACATCTTGTCGGTGGGCCCGGCGAAGGAAGAAAAGAAGGAAGAGAAGAAAGAAGAAAAAAAAGAAGAGAAGAAAGAAGAAAAGAAGGAAGAGAAGAAAGAGGAAAAGAAGGAAGAGAAAAAGGAAGAAGTAAAGAAGTAATCTATCAAACACATTAATTCATTGCAGCAATATCAAAATCCTTTTTTTTTTTTTGGTTGAGAATTTCTAGCTATTATTAATAAATAAATTATTCTGGGTATTTTCTAAATATGATGAAAATTTAGATTTTTTTTTATAAAAAACAAAAAAAAAAAAAAAGAAGAAAAGCTTGTTGCTTTTTCAATAAGTGGGGTTTGGCTTTTCAAGGATGTGGCAGCTACTTGTGTATGAAATGGTTGGTTCGTATTTAAATTGGTTGAATATCATCAATGATTCATCACCTCATTCTTCATCCATTATATATATAATAATATAATATAGATAAAAATTATACTTTATTTCAAATATATACAACAAACATTGTGTACTATGTATTATCTTATTCATTGTTGTAGTGCAATATGTGCATGAATGTGTAGCAAACGGCTTGCTAACGGTCCAGCACAGAGCTTTCGTCAAAATATATATATATATATATATATATATATATATATATATATATATATATATATATATATATATATATATATATTACCCCACAAAAATAAATTATTCAGAAAGCCTCTTTCACACAGCGAAACAAGCGTGGAAAACACACACAAAAGTAGCAGCAAATTACGTGGCAATCAAATTTTAAATTAAACCATTTGCAGCAACTCCTTCCTTTCGACATAATTCGCAGCAACATAAACGAAACGAACCGAACTGCATAATAACATTTGCCACTCAAAAATGCCACATTAAAAGAGAAACATACTCGCTACAAAAACGAAGCTAACGCAACACAATCATAATCAAGAATCCGCAAAATTTATATCTCGCTCAAAAAACGAGGATTTAATCGAAGACTTACAACATGGCTTCAGAAAGTACATACTCCACCTCCTTTAATTAGCATCTCCTATATCTTTTAATTTTCGACAGCAAATGAGTGTACTGCCCCTTTTCGACCATGTGCTTTATAACCTCATGCGCTTCGGGCAGTTTCCCCGCGTTCCTTAAATACCCCACTAAGGTAGTGTACACAAGAAAATTCGGATTACACCCCTTCGACTCCATTTCCTTCAACATCAACCAAGCATCCTCGAATTTCCCATCCATACAAAGCCCCCTAATCATCGAATTGTACGTAAACACATTCGGCAACTGTCCCCTTTCAATCATCTCCGAGAAAATCTCCCTCGCCGTATCGAATTTTCCCGCCACAACATGACCTGTTATCATCACAGTGTAACTCACCACATCGGGCACAAACCCTTGATTTATCATTTCATCGAAGAAATACCGACAAGCTTCCAAGTTGCCTGCCCTACTCAGCCCATCGATTAACGTCGTGTAATGAAGAACACTCGGGTCGATTCCTATTTCCTTCATGTGATTCATGAGCTTCAACGCTGCTAATGGCTTGTCGCCTTTGCCAAGAACGTGGAGGAGGAGATTGAATGTATGAAAATCCGGCGAAAAACCGGTTCGCCCCATTTCGTCGAGTAACCCATGGAAGTGGTCGAGTTTTCCGAGGCGGAATTTTGCGCACATGATAATATTATAGGTTAATATATCGGGTGGGTGGCCTTTAGCCAGCATTTGCTGATACACCCACTCGATCAGTCTGTAATGATTGAGCGTCAAAAGGGAGTGCAGAATTGCGTTGAACGAATGTTTGAACGGCCTGTAATTGAAAGTCTTGGACTTGATAAACCTCTCCACAACTTTTCTTGCTAGTCCGGCCCCACCACAGGTGCATATCAACATGTTGAAAGTTCTCGCGGTTATAGGGTAACCTTTTTCGGTCATTTCATCTACTAACCTCCACATTGCTTTGAATTCTTCGGATTCAGCGAAGATTTTCATCATCATATGGTAGGCATTCGTCGTGTGCTTGTAATTTTCCTGTTCGCCCGACCAGACAAAGAATTTGTACCCCAGCTTTGCGCATCGGTTTTTGTTGGCGTAATTGACCGTCTTTAAAATACCAAAGAGGACTTCTCTTACAAGAAGACCTGAAATTCTCAGTCCTAGATTGGTTAGGACCGGTTTTGGGTCGAAACCAGGACCGTCTTGATGAAGTACTTCGAGAATTCGTTCGACATCAATTTTCACCTCATCGATAAAACCCTCCCTTGAGGAGTAATTTCCAGAAGAACCAAGCGAATCGTACAAAGTGGATGTATTGTTATCAAGATTCGAACTTTTCCATGATTCGTTGAGAAAATCCTCAATCCGCCCAAACCCATTTTCGACATCATCGCTGTTGTTAAATATACGACCGCAGAAAGTGCGAGAAACAACACAAAGACACGAAAATCGATTGAAAATTCTGGGAGTGGAAAGAGCTACAGAGAACATGGCAAAAGAGCAATAAAAATTGGGGAAAACCCATTATACTGGCAATTCATCAACAGCACAAAATGCTAACGAATCGACAGAATTAGAACCAGACAGATGCAGAATGTGTTCGAGTTCGTCGAGTTGAAGAAATTGAAAACTTCCCATTAAACAGAGAAACTGCGCATCACGTGCCGTGAACTTTAAAGAGAGGAATCGATTGTTGATGATGAAGAAGAAGAGTGAAATTACCTTGTTCAAGTGATGATTGCTGGATAGATTTGTGTTGAAATTTGAAAAGGAAATCCTCAGGGTTTATGGCAAAAATCAAGGGTTTTGAAAAATTTCCCAAAGATCGAAACAGAGAGGTATTGGGGGTTGTCCTTAATAGTCTTTTCACTTGTCAGATTTTGGCACGTGGGAAATGATTCGTGTGAGAATTTGTTAAATATGAATAGTCTAGGTTTCCTATTGGGCTGGGCCCTAGCGGTGCAATTGTAATGTAACCCCATTTACTCTTTTCTTTTTGTCTAAATCAACAAATAATAAATTGGACTTAATTACAATAATGGGCTTATGAAAATAAAGGTTACCAATCAATAACTTACTAGTTACTACAACAGATATTTTACGCCAGCTAAATGAAGACCAGTCCACTAAATTATAGGGCCGACCGTGCAGTATTTATGACTTTTTATTTATTTATTTATGACTTTTGAATGGCCTAAGTTGTATTTATTAAATAAAAAGAAAAAAAGAAAAAGAAAAGAAGAGGAATTAAATTTTAATGTTTGCAATTTTGTTTGTTTGTTTGTTTGTTTGTTTTTCTTTCAAATACTACACTTATAATATACCAGTAGTCGTGCATGTGCGTTGCATGGGGTCGCACTCAACAAAGGAATAAAATAAAATTGTTTAAATAAATAATAGTACAAATTGTAAAAACAATATATATCAACTAATATTGAAATACATGTGTGAAATTCAAATTACACAAATTTTAATCTAACAAATTTTAATTTTGAGAAAAAAATCAATTTCCAATAATTCTGTCTCGATATTTTCGAAATTCTGTGGAGCATAATTGAAATTCATTTTCAATTAAAAAAAAAATCCTAACAAAGAAAGCGTGTTTTGCTACACGAACAAAGTGCCAAAAAAGAAAACCCCCGAATTCTTTTCCAGCGACTCCCAAAACCCTCGTCAATCTCCCAAACAGCAGCAGCTGCAGCAGCAGCCATATCCATCTTCTCTCTCTCTCTCTTCACCTTCGTTTCGAATCAAGAGAAAACACAATGGTGAGTCAAAGGCAAAGATTGGCGAAAAAACAATTCAAACAAGCGAACCCGGATCTTTTTCCGGCGCCGGAGCCAACGCCGCCGAAGGACCCGAGCAAGAAGAAACACAAGCAGAAAAGCAAATTCAAGCGCAAGAAATCTGGACCAACCGATCCAAACAAGCCCAAGAAACCTTCACACAGTAAACACCCACTTCGAGTTTCCGGGATGATGCCTGGTCAGAGCTGTTTTATATGCACAGCGCCTGACCATATTGCTAAGAATTGCCCCATGAAATCCGAGTGGGAAAGAAACAAGGTTCAATTTTTATTTCGTATTATATATTATTTTTTATTTTATTTTTTGGGTATCTGGGATTTTCTGCTAGTAAATGGATGTAGATTAGATATAAAAGCTTGACAAAACAGTGTTGCTAATGTTGTTACTATCTATGATGTTTGTAGATCTGTTTGTCTTGTCGAAGACGCGGCCACAGCCTTAAGAACTGTCCCGAAAATAACGAGCAACCAACGGATAAACGATTGTGTTATAATTGTGGAGGAATGGGGCATTCCTTGGATAAATGCCCGCAACCTCTTCAAGATGGTAAAATTTTGTACCCGTAGATTAAATAAATTACACCCCTCGGTATCTCTCATTCATTTTTGTACGTAGTGTGCGGTGATACAGTATTTGATTGTTCGATGTAATATTAAATCATAAGCTCAGCTTCTTGAATTAACGTGAAGTAGACTTCAATGTTTAACGTAGCCTCTACTCGAACTTCGATAAGTTGGAAATCTTGATTTTTTTTTTATAATCTCTTCTGTTTTTGTTGTGCAGGAGGAACGAAATACGCAAATTGCTTTATATGTAATGAAATTGGGCACTTGAGTAAAGATTGTCCCAAGAATACCCACGGAATTTATCCAAAGGTATTTTCTTAAACTATCCGAAAATTCACGTATTTATTGTGTCGTCTACATTACTGCATTAGGGTGGAACTGCAATTTACTACATTGTCTCGTTAAACCTAAAGAATTTATCTTTCTAGTCAAATTTACATTAAAAATCTTGCGACGGGTGTTTTGATTGGTTAACTACATATTTCATCAAAGTTACTTTTTGCCGCCAACTTGCTATCATGACACTAATTCGTTGCTTAAGAAAATGCGTAGTTATAAATTATAATCTCATATGTTTACGTGCAATTTATTTTGCAGGGCGGGTGTTGTAACATATGTGGTGGTATAACGCATCTGGCTAGAGATTGCCCTAATAAACGCGGCAAAATCTACGATTCAGCAGCTATGGTTGGTCAATCATGTAAGTGGTGTTTACAATATATATATATATATATATATATATATATATATATATATATATATATATATATATATATATATATAATTTTTTTTTTCAAATTCTTTTTCTTGATGTGTTGAATCGGTGGTAATATTTATTAAATCATGAAAGTAACGCAAGTAATTGTATGTGTGTGAAACAGTTGACGGTTACCAAAGGCCGAATAAGGTTACGAAGCTTGGTGGGGATGACATCGAAGATGATTTTGCTGAGAATATTGGTGATGTCATCAAACCGGCTGCATCTATAGTTGATGAACTAAATAAAGATGCTGCTGCTGCAAAGACCAAGATTAAACATGCTCCTAAAGTCGTTAATTTTATGTCTTGATAATTTTCTTGCTATTTATGAATTCTCAGAACTTATGTATAAGGATATATTCAATTATTTTGTGGGACCATGCATCAAATATACCAAAGTTTTTTTCTTTTTTCAATTTTTTTAATTTTTATTTGTTAAGGGAAAAATGGTTGGTTAAATTTCGGGGAAATATTAACCGAAGAATTGGTTAGACAATTCTTGACCCTTTATTTATTTATTTTCTTTTCCCCCGCGTTTATCTCTCTCTTTTACAATACCCCCAATTTCCTATTTCTCACCTTCATTCCTTCCCTTTTTTTTTCCTTTTTTCCTAATAATTTTTGCAGGTCGTCTTTTTTTTCTTCTTCTCCGTGATTCGAAGACAAAATGGTACCTTAGCTTTGCATTTTATTCTTATTACATAACGATGGATAAGTATTTGGTTAATACATTATTTTGATTAAGTTTAAGGCATGCATGGAATATGAAAAATTCATGTCGAAATTTTGTTCCCCTGGTATGTTTGTGGCATGCAGGCGAATTCAGGATCTGGAATGGCAGTGGATGATGAGTGTAAACTCAAATTCCTCGATTTGAAAGCAAAGAGAAACTACCGTTTCATAGTATTCAAAATCGAGGGTCAAAAGGTGGTTGTGGAGAAACTTGGTCAACCTGATGAATCTTACGAAAATTTCACAGCCTCTCTCCCTTCCGACGAATGCCGTTATGCCGTCTTTGATTTCGATTTCATCACCAATGAGAATTGCCAGAAGAGCAAGATCTACTTCATTGCTTGGTAACCTTTTTTTTCTTTTATTTTTATTTTAAATTAATTATATTTTATTTTATTTATAAATAATATGTGTACATATATATAGGTCACCAGAGGTATCAACGGTGAGGATGAAGATGGTGTACGCCAGCTCGAAGGACAGATTCAAGAGGGAATTGGATGGGATTCAAGTCGAACTGCAGGCAACTGACCCCAGCGAAATGAGTCTCGACATCATAAAAGCGCGTGCATACTGAAGAAAACACGCTTTTCCGTACACTTGCTCCACTCCACCACCCCTCAAGTTTTACGTTTTCACACTTTATATTGTCTCGTCTTGTATCTCTATCTGTGTATGTATTGATGCATTTGTAGTAGCTCTTATTATTTAGTTGACTGTAATACTGTGCATTATTCTGCGATCATGTATATCGACAGTGTTCCTGTATTTACCAGATCAACAAATAAGTCTCATCTTTGATTTTAATTCTTTTTCTTCATTTCTCTCATTCGCATGGTGGTGTTATTTAAATTTTCCGGTGAATCTTAATGGAGTCCTCACCCTACCCGATTGACTCTAAAACTAAGCATATTCTACATTTCATACCGTTACTTATTTGGTGCTTTTATCTAGTGCTTGTTTCTGAGTGAAGTTGCCATGTGTTTCGTTTACGGTTCATTATTTTATTCGCATTAGTACCCAACAAAAAATGTCTATGATTTCAGGGGTTACAAGAATGATTCATCATATAATCAGCATATTCTGAAAACCAAGAGAATAAACCTGACTATTAAGGGCAGAATTCGTCTCTAATAATTATCGATTATTCGGAAATCAACAGTTTAGGCTCCGAATTTAGGAACCTTAGCAGTAGATATCTGGGCAAGGAAATGCTCCGACACAATCCGCCTCTGAATTTTCCCGGTAGCAGTTTTAGGAAGTGAGTCTGTCATGAAAACCCTCTTTGGAACCTTAAAAGCAGCCAGATTTTTCTTGCAGAATCTAGACACCTCTTCCTCATCGAGATTCGATCCGTCTCTAGGAATAACCGCACAATTTATCTGAACAAATACAAGCCAAAATAATTAGCAAGTCAACAACAAAATGCAAAAAAAGTCTCGATACTCCGTAATTAATAAAATTAGGTGAGAGGTTCACACATGGCATGGGTTTGTCTGGTAAAAAAAAGTCTCGTTTGAAGGCTAACCATACCCCACAGTTTTTGTCCTTAACGAAATATTATATACGATTTGGGCCATCACAAACTTTAGTGTATGCATCTTATTGAATCTTAACTTGGTGGGATATGATTAAGTTTTGTATCACAACTTTGCTGAAAATATGTAAAACAGTTACTGCGTTGTGACATCTAACTACAAATGTAAATTATTGGATTCCATCTATTTTGTTATGCATTATTGATCGATGGATAACAACAAGACAGAGAGATGTGACAGAGAGAGAAAGAAGCTTCTTACCTCTTCTCCATATTTATCATCAGGTACTCCAAAAGCAACAGCTTGTGCAATATCAGGATGGGACAATAGGAAAGAATCTACTTCAATTGGTGATATTTTTTCTCCTGTAACAAATTTGATGTCACCACACAAAATCCCAAGATAATAAATATCATTTCATTTCAAGATCAGAATTTTATTAGTATATATTTTTACTAGCTTCAGAATCAAATTGTGACTATTTTTCTTGAAGATAAAACGAGGTGGTGCAATCCTAGCCACATTTGAAAGGTTCAGATTCAACAAGGTTGAATTTGGTTCAAGTCACAGGAAAAATGTAACACAGATGAAAAGGATATTTGAGGAGCTATAACTACTTCATAACCTTTCATGAGATGGACCACGAAGTTTGTTTCGTATAAAATGATTTACCGAAAAAATGGTAACCAACTCGATGCGCCTAAAAAGAGAAAAAAACGACCAACTAGTGGATAGCAAACCTCCAAACTAGGTGGCCCTTATCTACCAAAATACGGTACCGAAAGATCTCCAAAGGATGGGAAAAAGATCAATGACATATGCAAATATTCCCCAAAAATATAATTCTGCAGGCAATAAATTATATGACTTGATAGTAGCTTAGTACTAGAACATATTGTTAGATCAACAACATAAGCAAAAGATTCACGAAATAGTATAATTAATGCGTAAAAGATTTACCTCCACGGTTGATCAATTCTTTGATTCTTCCAACAAGATGCAAATATCCATCGGAATCAATGAACCCCAAATCTCCGGTATGGAACCATCCGAATTGGAATGCCGTTTTATTTGCCTCCAAATTATTCTTGTAACCTTTTGTCACATTGAGACCCCTTATGCAAACCTCACCTTTAGCATCAGTCTCTTGTACCTCCCCATTCTCATTCAATATCGCCATTTCTTGACCAACTGGTTTACCCACGGAGCCGGGCTTGTGTGGGCCCTCCTCGGGCAATGGATTCGATGACATCAAATGTGTGGCTTCGGTCATCGCATAAGCCTCCAAAACAGGGGCTCCAAATGCCTCCTCCAACCGAGCCATAATTGCAGGCGCCAAGGATGCGCTGCAGCTTCGGATGAACCGGAGCTTCGGGTAAGCTGGTTCGGGGCTGCTGAGGTGGCGGTCGAGTATGATTTGATGTATTGTTGGCACGGCGGTGTACCATGTTGCGTTGTACATTTTCATGTCGGACCAAAACGTTGAAGCTGAGAACCTGCCGGAGGCGGGCAGAGCCACCGCGGCTCCGGCTCCAAGCGAGCTCAGTAAGCCGGCTAACAAGCCGTGCACGTGAAACAATGGCAGAACAATGACGGTTGAGTCTGATTCGGTTATTTTGTACACGGATTGTATGTTTCGGACGGAGGAATAGAGGTTTTGTTGGGTTAAGGGCACTCCTTTAGGTCGGCTGGTGGTGCCGGAGGTGTGGAGGAAGAGTGCCACGTCGGATGGGTCGTTGGTGAGTTCAGAGAGTGAGTTGGTGTCGTCAGCCTCTGACTGAGTTGGAGATAGTACGACATCTGAATCGGCGTCCGGCAGCGTCGCCGAGAGGTGAGGAATATTGAGCTTCGCGGCGGCGGCCTGAGCCGGCTCGTTGCCTTCTTTTGAAGTGAGTAGAATTTTTGACTCTGAATCTGATAGGTAGAACTCGAATTCGTCGAAGGTGTACGCTGCGTTCAGCGGCGCCGCCGTCGCTCGGACTCGTATCACGGCCAGGAACATTATAACAAACTGCAACCGAAATATAAAACGAAATAAATAATTATTAGTGAGCCGAAACTCGAAAACTACGTCGTTTCGTCAAAATTATTACTGTGTTGAAACAACGCGCAATTGAAAACGATGTAAAACAAAAAAACAGAGCGTGAAAAACAACGAAAACAAAACGCATCACGTCTCCGAAAATTAGGCAAGGAAGGAGAATTAGTCAATTAGATCAATCGATTAGGTTAAATCAGATTTAGCAGAAATTATTCTAGTAAAAATGAAGAAATATGTCTACCTCAACTGTGTTGGGGAAGGTGAGCGCAACGACGTCGCCGGGGCTAACGCCGGCGGAGAGGAGTTTGGCGGCGGCGCGATCGACGAGTTGATGGAGTTTTGCATGGGTGAGATCGAACTTTCCGGAGACACTGATGGCACCCCGGTCGGAGAATTGGCCGGCGACGTAGTCCAACAAGCCGGTGAGGGTGGAAATTCCCATCGCTAATCTCGAGAAAAAAGGAAAACGAATGCAATCGGAGATAATTATGAAAACAGAGCGTGGCGATACAATACAACGGGAAGAGATGAGGATTAGATTTGCAGCAAGGAGAAAGGCACACATATATATATATATAGGGGTTTGCGGAAGAATCGATTTTTCGTCACCTTCTTCGTGGAGGCGAGACTAGGGAAGGTTTATGCCACGTGGCGTTTTTAGGCTGAATTAGAACAAAGTTGGCTGCAATTTAAGTGGAAGCGGGTACTTTTATTATTTTATCAATAGGAAAAAATAAATATCGGTATTTAGAATTTAATTATTTAAAGTATTTAAATTAGGTAAATAAAAAAAGAAATAAAAGACAATCACGTGGAAAAGTGTAGAAAGACCAACATAACCAAAGTCGAAATGTGGGTGGTTAAAATATTAAACTGGGATTAATTTTGAGATTTTTTTAAAATTGATATGATGAAATAAAATATCAGGTTGCAGTTTCCTAGAAGAGCGCACCTTCCATGCATACGTGGCACCAGTAGCGCGTGTTCGCCATTTTTGATATATTTTATTCCTCTTTTTTTTCTGACTTGGTTCTCTTCTCTTTTCCCCCAAATAAAAACAAGAAAATAAAACGAATAAATAAAGTTTAGTGTAAATTACAACCGCCCATGTATTTACGAAAAAAATTCTCTTGGTTGGATAATTACATCTATCATTATTAATTATGATTTTTTTCTTACACATTCACCCCTATGGTGTCAAATTCAACATAGTAATCAAGATTTCGTGGAATGTGATATAGTTTGTACTCATTTCGTATAAAAATACAGTTTCTGATGCATCACAATCTGATATATATAAGTCAAAAAACACATATTATGATCATCTTGCTTCAAAATGTGGAGTTCGAATGAGATAAAACGGTAGTGATAATATTCCATATAATCTAGAAAATTCCACTAAATTTTTATAGTTGATGGGTGGTTGTAATTAACCAAACAAGAGGGAGATTTTCGTAATTTAACCATACCTCATGGACAGTTGTAATTTACCCTAAAGTCTATAATGAAGGTGAAAAGAAAGAAAACAGTTCAATATAAACCGTGTTTCCTACTTGACTTTGTAATGTAGGATTTACTAATCTATAAGTAGTATTAACTATTAATTAACGCGGTATAGTGAAAGGTCAATAATTCAAATCTCTTACGGGGCGTGTATTGTAAAATCACGTATGTTATAAGACAATTGTTTAAATTAAACAAAAAAAAAAAAAGAACAAATAATTTTTGCATGTTAAGTAGATATTTAATCATAAAAAAAGAATTGTTATATATCCTTGAACCATCAACATCCTATTAATGGTCGACATAGAGTTTTGTAGTACTAGAGAAAATGGGATTTGATCTATCATAATTCAGACAGCAATCAATTTTGATTTGGCTTTTCTTTTGAGGTACAATAAACTTACGTGTCTCGGGCACAACTGGTGTAGGCTATTATATTACATATAGCTCATGATATTATTACCGACTTGTTTTGAAAATATTGATTTTTTGTTTTTAGTTGGAAAAAATATCACCCTAATTACAGTCCAACTCCAACAAGATACATCAAAGGCCAAATTACAAAACCGTCTCTTGGTCTTTGTTGGGCTTCCATTGGTTTTTAATTGTTTTCTGGGCTATAATGTAGTAATAGAATTTATGACAACTCCGAATGTTTCTGAATTAAAAAAAAAAAAACCACTAAAATAACTAAATAAAATATTTTAAAATTAAGAGGTAAAACTTAGAATTCACAGTAATATGTATTCCTCTAAGCAGAACTAAATAAAAATAAAAATATTATGAGACTCGTAAAAAGACCGCTGATAGATTTTGCTCCATAGATTTATACATATTACTATCGATAAAGCATGCATAGACATGAGCATGTGCATTATTATGTGTAAATCAACGGTACAGAGTATAGCTTACAACCACGAAATCAAAAAATAAATCGAAAAAACATACAAGATACACAATAATGTGATAATAATAATAATAAATATTGGACGAATTTCCTTATTTCAATTATATATATATAATTTTTTTTTATCTTCTTTTGTTCCCGTTCCGAATATTGAGCTAGTCGAATATTGGGTCAAATTTAAAAGCCTCAATAGTAGTAAGAAGGAGCCGTTGACGGGGCATAGACGAAGTTAACGCCGTTAACATATTTGGACGATGATTCTGGTCCAGGAGCTACGTATCCGGAGCTTTTAATTTCCGCCATTTCACGCCGTTTGTTTGTGCCTTGTGCTTCACATAATTTGGGAAGATACACGCCTACCGATAATATTATCACAAAACAACATCAATTAACTAAATTAAAATTAATTTACAGTTGATAAATTAATGGCGACAGTTGATATACCTTCTCCAGCAGCGAGATTGAAGTAAAGATCAACGATGTTGGGGCAGCCGCCGTAGCACTCGTCGGAGCAAAGTTTTCCGGCGAAATGCGATTCCAACATAGAATCCGACGAAATCCCAAGCGCGCTTCTGTCGAGGCCGCACGCTTTTATGCATTCGTCGCTTTCGATCCAATCCTTCATTCTACCCGCGGCCTCAATCTCCGACGTGCCGCACGTGTACTCTTCCACGCCGCTTCTCCGCACGTGCTTCTCAAGCACGCATCGTTTCCCCACATACGATACCGCATACGAACACGTGTCTTTGCTCAGATTTTGGCACTCAATTTTTCCTACATTCAACATTATAAAGTGAAAGCGGGTAAAAAGCATTATATAAAATAAAACGAGCTCGATTAGCAAATGAACACGTGTTTTTTTTATGAAATTAGCCATCAATTTTCTCGTGCGTATAATTTAAAAATGAGCTCGATAACGAACCTAGAGCGACTTGCACGAAAAGGGCAAAAACGAAAAATGCTAGTGTTTTCGAAGTATATGGTGATGCCATGGAAACCCTAGTAACCTTTTCTTTTCTTGGTTGAATTTATTTGGGTGTACTTAGGACAAGTGCAATGGAGATGTAATTGTAAGAAATGCTATTTATAAATGAAGAAACTAAAGTAAAACAAACGTAATTAACTCAAGTGAAAGCAACTACTAACATCCAATTTTCCAAAAGTTTGGCCAAGTCATTAATTATATATGTAGACTAAATTAAAACTATGACTGCTGGCTCTAAGTCTTCTATTGATATTTGAGAAGAAAGAAAATGAAATCAATTGCCGGTCCAAGACTCCACAATTTATGGTGGAATTATACAATTTGGGGAAAATAAAATAAAATTAAAGACCATTTATTTTGTGGAATTTTGCCCCACTTAGTCAATTTTTTTCTGAGTGAACGAATCTGTAACCAACTATATAAGTGTACCGAGTCAATCAATATTCTCGTATAATAACTTGCAGACCATATAAGAAACGTAAACCACATTAGCCAAATAGTTTATTTTTTGTCACTCGATTCTTTATATTGAATTAGTGACACTATATCACTGATAAACATAGTAACGATATCCTATGAAAATAGGTGTTCTCACTCAAAAATATTTGAACCACCGATATCACGTTTAGCATATTTATATATAAAGCTCCTATTTAATTATGGTACAATTATTTTTATAAAAAAAAAAAAAAAATCACATTTAATGGGTCTTAGGTCGTCTCTCTCACATTTAGCCAAGCCCAAATGCTCAGACTATAGTAATTAACAGCAGTGAATTATCAAGAAAAACAAGCCTAATTAATACACGAGAGACGACTTCAATGATTCACACTTTTGCACCATTTAGTCAATTGTGGAAAAAAAAAAGAAAAAAAAGAAAAAAAAAAAAAGAGAACAACAAATTAGATCAAATTGTAATAGGCCTAAGCTAAATTTATAGCCTAAAACTGTTAATCGAAACCCAAGCCCAAACGTGTTAATTTTATTCAAGAAGAGGCCCAATTCCAAAAAGAGACCCAATGTAAATTAATTTTAAATTTTAATTATAAATAGTATCTAAAAAATAGAATTGGAGGAGAGGATGCAGTCTCTCGGTATATATAGTATTAATAATTTAATATTTAAACAATGTGTGTATTGATATGGATGAATTCATTCCTAACTAGTGGGGTGTGAACGAGCTGAGCTCGCTCGACTGTTTTTTGCAGGAGCTCGAGTCCATTTTGTCGAGCTCGACATCAAGTATTATATATATATACAACCCCGATCACATAACAGTAAAAAAAAAAAAAAAAAGCAGATAAATTTTGCAGCAAAAAAAAATTAAAGTTGAGATCTGCAATTGAATTGAATTTATAAACTGGAAACACAGATGGACCACTTCCAATGACATCTTATTTATCATGGCCTACCACTATATATATTTATTAGCTGCTGCATCAAATATGGACTACTACTACTACACACACACACTGACACACACACACACACACACACACACAATATATATCTATATTTTCAATATTGTTATATGTTTTTCAGAAAACATGAAAGCTAATTTATTTCCTTTATTTTCGTGGCTTTAGTATACATAGCAATGAGATTAATTTGCGATATAATTTAAACATAATGGAACTGAAGCAGTCTCCCACTTAGAAAACCTTTGCAAATGATCACAACATATAATAAATAAAAATTAATAACATATTTTTGCTACTTCCAAACCCTAACATTTGTTATTAGCTAGGTATAATCATCCTCATGATAAACGGAAAAGCTAACAGAAAGAACTAAAACGAAGAACACATAATCTGATCGAATCGTTTTCATTCTCGATCTTATAAAATATATATCACTAATTAAATTTATATATAACTCCAAAGTTAATTCCTCTTTTAACCAAGCATACCCGAAACCAGGAAAAAAAGAAAAAGAAAAAAAGAAACACAATAACCCCATAAGAATTAATTATATTACACCAGCAACATTAAAAGTAAAATACAAAAAGAAATAAACACAGAAAAAAAAGAAACTGATCACACCTGATGATCAAGAAGTGTGTTGGGAGGTGCTGAATTAAGTGCAGTACGACGGAGAATTCCTAAGGGATCGCATGATCCAAAGATCGGAAAACGAATATATATATATTAAACATCGATCATCAGATCAATGCGATCCCTTTGGAATTTTCCAACTCACACCAAGCTGAGAAGCTGCTAATTTTTCTAGTAATTTAATATTTATGACATTTTAAGGTCATTTTTGTTTGTGTGTATATATATATATGTATATATATATTGGAAGGAAGGAGACTAGAGAATAGTGTTTCTGAATGTATGTGTGTTAAAGTAGTAGAGATACATTTTGGTTGGTTTGTTCATTTATATATATTCGTCCCTTACAAATTTGATGTGAGCTAAAGTTAGTTAGGTGTTTGGAGGTTGAATACATCGTCCCTTTCTAAAATTCTTTTTAATTTTATTTTTTTAATTTGTAAAAAAAAAATTGTGGTTTAATTTCGTATAATTTTTTTTTTATTTTAAATTTTATTTGTCACTTTTAAATTCCAATAATGCATTAACTGCAAATTTTTTTTTTTTCAAATTTTATCTTATTACTCTTTCATTAATTGAGAGAAAATAAAAAAATAACTAAAATATTACCGGAATCATGCGAAACAAAAAAAAATTATAGTCCAATTTCGAGCCGTAATTTATAGAAGTAACGATTGCTTTCGGATATGTCTGAACATGTTTATGAATGAATGAAACAAGGTACATAAATTCAAAATTAATAGTTGTGCATATAATAATGAGAATCTTTAATGGGTTTTCTTAAGGCAGATAAGAGTAGCAATCAAAACAGCTAAAGCTTGAGAAATAAAGCAAACACTTCCTACATCCAAGAATATGACACTTTGCTCTTATTCCTTAATTTTCATATGTTCTACAATCTTTACATAGATTATATGCATATATGTTGTCTCTTATCTTCACTAATTCTCCCCGACAATAACATAACCATATTCAACCCGCAACCATTCGTGTTTACATATATACATATATAATTAGGCAGCGCTATCAATTATCCTAAAAATCAGTCGGTGTCAATATATAAAGGCTGCGCATATATATATACTATGATCTTATGGTGCATTCAGCACACTCATGCGCCCGCAACATTTGATTATGGGCCGTCCATTACTGAGCCTCCACGCGGACAATTGCTGCCAAGCTCAGACTCGTAAATTATAAGGTCATTGTATATACACATGTATGTGTATGTGTATGTGTCAATGTATATGTGTGTATGTGTGTGAATGTATATGTGTGTGTGAATTAAAGGTAGGAATAAAATGGTGAATAAAGAGTTGGTCGATTGATGCGTGAAAGTTTTGTTTGAACGAATTGACAAGTAGGACCCATCTTGTCTCTTCATTATGGGAATATAACATTTCATTTAATAAGACTTAGCTAACATTTACTCCAAATACGTGTCACTTTTGTCCACGAAATCACCTAATTTATCATATGGTCTTTGTTTGGATACCATCATCATGTTAATTTAATAGAGAATATAATCAATCTAATTATTATTATTATTATTATTATTTTTAATACTTTCTTTAGAATATATATGCAGCACTTTCATCCAATTTAATTTTTGGTTGATGTCTATTAGTTTGTAACGTACAAAATTCAAATTTTATATTCCAATAAATTAGTATTACTATTGCATTTACGTATATGGCATGACAATTTTTTGTAGATGCAAATAACAAGGAAAACAATTATATAACTAGCAATTGTGAACTTATATTTATGATGTAAGATTGATAAACTAATTAAAAATCCCTTTTGCAGCCCGCGAGTAAATTTTGCAAGTTAACTTTTTTGTTTCTTTTATATATTTTTATGTTAAATTTTCTACTCTACCCCTAAAACTAATGAACCATCGAAGGAAAAATGGATGGAAGAGTGTATTTGCCAATATATTAAATGTTTGGGGGGAACTTGTTAAAAGACCAAAATTCAAAGGACGTAGATGCAAATAATGAAAAATCCTTACAATGGTGAGTAAATATAAAAACCTAATATAATAATATTATTAAATAATTACACAAGAATACATAAATCAGATTCTCCCCTACCCCCACACACGTGCGATGCTGGTGATCGATCATGTCCCACGCATGCACATATTTTGAGTCGCTAACAAATTTTCACATTTATTTGCCTCCCTCATACGTTGCATGTGGGGCCCCCCTCTTTGTCCCATTCCCATTTTATTTTTATTACAATTCTAATATTATATATATTTATATTACACATTGACATCATGTGCAAATTATCGTTAATATTTAAATATTGATATCAAAATAATTTTAGAATTGATTTTGGAAGCTCTTTAACTTTTGCTTTTTTTGATAAACTTAGATGAGAATTGCCCATCATACTTTAATTTTATTTAATTTTACACCCCTCTATCTCTATATATATGTATGTATATATGTGTTTGTGGTCACAAGTTGATGTGCATATATCAGTGAGAACAAGTCACATGAACACTTGATCCATAGGCTTCACAAATAAAAGATTTGCTGTACTAATTCAATAATGCACTCACTTTTGTCTACAACTATATATGTACAACTTGAATCATGGTGGACATGAAGAAAGTAACAAGAGACTCACCTTATTAAATAATAAATATATATAAACATTCAATTTTAGTATTTGGTACGATATAAAACATATTAAAAAAAGAGAGAGAGAAACCAAAAAAAAAAAAGGGGATAAATTACGACCACCAGTTAAGGTAAGGTCAAATTTGGGGTGTAAACGAGCCGAGCTCGCCTTATTTCGGCAGCTTAAGATCGAGCTCGCCAAGGCTCGAGCTCGAGCTCCTTGTGTTTCTAAGAAGCTCGAGCTCGTATACGAAACGAGCTCGAGCTCGGCACAACCAAAAATCCATCCATCCAATTTATTTTTTCAATTAAAAAAATAATATTATTCTTTATTTTTTTATTATTAATAATATCAATTATTATATATTATTAATATGTATTAAAAAATATAGAGAAAAGGCTCGCGAGCTGTCGAACAACTGAAATGAAGCTCGAGCTCGACTCGTCGAAAAGCTTGCGAGCCGACTCGTCTCATTTACACCCCTAGGTCAAATTACGAAAAAATAACCCCTTATGTTTGGGTAATTACAAACACCCCTAAACTATAAATTTTCTTACACATCCACCCTTGTTGTGTCGAATTAGAAGGTTCTGTTGAATTTGACATCACAAGGCTAAACGTGTAAACAATTCACAGTTGAGGGGTGGTTGCAATTACCCAAACGTGGGGTTTTTTTTGTAAATAAAAAAGTTCATGTATACCGGGCCGAAGTTTTGTTTTTTTTGCATCCTATTGGACTGATATTCATTTCCGATTGGCCACATTTAGCCCAGCGCTTTCACACTATTGAGTATTCAAAACGGCCCATTTTGAAATAAAAAAGTCAAATATAAATATTGTTCTCTATAGATTAATTACGACTAGGGGTGTAAACGAGCCGAGCTCGCCTATTTTGGCTGGCTCGAGCTCGAGCTCGAGTTTATTTTGTTGAACTCGAGCTCGAGAGCTCCTCTTTTTTTTGCTCGAGCTCGAGCTCGAGAGCTCCTCTTTTTTTGGCTCGAGCTCGAGCTCGTGTCAGTTGTGTCGAGCTCGAGCTCGAGCCCATTGTCTTCTTTTTTTTTTTTTTTTTTTAAATATTTTTTTAATTATTATTTTATTATTAAAAATTATTTAAAAAAATAAAAAATAAAAACTAAATTGTAATTATATATATTTTTAATATTTGTATTTATTTCTATAATATTTTACATTATTATACATTATTTAAATAAAAATAACATATAAAAAATAATAATAAATTCGGCTCGCGAGCTCATGAACAACTGAAAACCGGCTCGAGCTCGGCTCATCAGAAAGCTCGAGCTCGAAAATCTCGAGTTTGAGTTCGAGCTTTTTACGAGCCGGCTCTTCGAACTCACGAGTCGGCTCGGCTCGTTTACACCCCTAATTACGACCAATTGAAATAACCAAATAAAAACGTATTTAAAATATATATAATATTAAAATGTATATGAAGCTATAGTAATCTAGAAATCCACGTGGTAAACTTCAGTCATATTGGGATAAAAAAGGCCCCAGTGTTGCTCAACGCCGGCTGACTTGAGATTTTCGTTGAACAGCGCAAATATGTAAGCATCCACGTCCTTCCTCGGCCTACGTGGCGTTCCAGCACCGGACGACACGTGTCTAATCAAATTATTGTTGTAAATCGCCGCGTTCGCCACACTCGCGTCCGGGCCTCCTTCCGCAGTGGGCCACCCGGTCTCGGCCGCAACAATCTCCACGTCGGGCCCACCAGCCTTCTCCAGCGCTGCGTGCACCGCGTCCACCATGGCGTCGAACAGGTTCGTGTAGAGCAACGCGCCGTCGGGGTTGGGTTTCGCCGTGTCCTGAAACAGCGCGAAATCCAGAGGAACGTTGGCGGGAAAAGAGTTGCGCGGGAAGTACGGGTAGATGTTGACCAGCAGAGGACTGCGCTTTGACTGTAGGAACTTCGCTACTTGCGTCAGCACCGGCGAAGATTCCGGCGAGAAGAGTCCGTTCGATGGTGGGTCCGACTGGGAGAGAACCCCCATGGAGATAGCGGTGCTCACCGGAATGGACAACTTGGCGGCGGTTAAGGCGGCGTCGAGGTTCTGCATGGCGGCGGGTACGTAGGTTGCTAGATCTCCCGGAATAACCTCGTTTCCGGCCGATATGCACGTGATGTTTACCGATGAAGAGAAGGGCAGTATATTGGTTTGTACCCATCTTTTTGCTGTGGCCACGTCGGACGCTAGGGTTTGAAGATCTTCATTTAGGGTTCCGACTATGGCGGAGATTCCGGAATCTTTTAGTGCGTTTAGAATATTCTGGTTTGGTGAGAAGAGACGGACTTTCGTGATGTTTCTAGAAGTAAGTAGTTTTACGCCGTCTGCCGGAGTTGGGAGATTGTCTCCCAGGAGACCGTAGTTCACTCCGATGGCGGCTTCAACTCGACCTAATTAATCCGGTCCGGCCAAGCGATTATTATCATAATTATTAATAACTACTTGCTAAAACAAAATATTTAATTAGACACGAAGAAATAATATTATTGAATTTGTATACGAAAGAATTAAATTGTGCATTGATGTTGGTTAATTAATTACCTGGATTAGTGATTGACAAGCACGCGATGAACACGAATAACATGGCGTAAATCGACTTCATTATTATTTATTTTGATGGCTGCAAGTTTAATGATTTTCAATGGTTGTTTTTATAGGCGGAGAAACTATATTGTATTATTTAATTATGGCCTAATTATTAGGTTAGATCCGGAGAGACATGGAAATTTAAATATCTATGGGAATTTTCTTTATTTTTTGAGAGATAAAATGGTAACATACTATATAGAAAAAAAAAATCTTTAAAAAAATTAAAAATTAATGGCTATGATGATCCTCTCCCTAATTTAATTAAATTTCAATATAAGAGATCGCATAACACGAAAATATATTCATTATTACTAACACATTCACATTCGTAGATCTTTCAAAAGATTGCCTAACATTTAAGAAGAGAAACAGCAAACATGGGTTGTATTTATGAGTTTGTTTCATCCTACGCCGCCCGGTGCATACACCTGTTATAAAATCGGTGTATAGATGAACGATTCGATTAATTTTTTGGCTTTCTTGTAACACATGTGAGATGTCAGAAAAGAAAATTTAATTATCGGACCGATCGAATTACCAATATTACCAATATTTTTTTTTATTTTTGTTTAGCAACACTCCCCAAAATGGTGAATTTTACTAATATTAATAATAATATTTAAGTTTAAAAAATAATTAGAGTAAACATAGAAATCATGCATGCAGTAAACATTGATTATGTACCTCTAATAAGATGATTAAGAGATATTTAAATCTGGACTTGCTGATGTGGGCCTTCATTGATTTATCAAGCTTAATTGGGCTTTGTAACTGGGCCTAGGTGGGCTGATTTAATTTCATAACATTGGGTCTTGACTCTTGACTCATTATTAATATTTAAAATAATTAATAAATAAATAATAATTAGAATTGACAAAGACGATAGTTTGGTGAATCGTAATTCGCGGTATAGTGGGAACCAACACGGCGAATGACACGGACCCACGTGTCATGCTTAGAACAAATAAAGCAAGTTTTGGAAAATCATGCTAACTAAAACAATCTTCTCATGATAAAAAGGGTAAAAAATAACTAAAAAGACAAAATTAAACAAAAAATTAAAGGGAGTACAATACACAAATGCAATAAACGTGGTCCTTAATGAAGACAAAAAGCGTGCTTTTCGAGCGACACGCTTTTTCAGCGAAAATCACGATGAAAGTGTAATTATATTAACCAACCCTTTAATATAGGTTTATGAGATGTTATTACGTGTAGATCAATCGTGCAAAATCAACCAATGTATTTCACCGGATGTAGCATCTATAAAATTCTAAATATGTTCACAGAATCGCTACTTGAATTGCTATCGGTAAAAACAAGCAACTTTCGGACAAAGTGTTACATTCAAAGTGCAAACCAACATTTAATTCATATCACGAGTTCGATCATTGTGCGTAATTTGTTATGTGTTCGTATTTGTTCTCCGGTCGTAATTAAACGCGGCTCAAGTATGACAATTTATCGTACGTGCAATTAATTAATAATTAGACTTGAACTCACTTGTTAGTTTGTTAACACCAACATGAATATTAATAATGATTTATCAAAGTCAAATCAAGCGTTGACATATAAATATATTATATATAATTAAAGTTCAACAGTTGGGAGAAAAACAATTACAAAATACAGGCCACTAATTACAACAGATAAATATTTATAATTACCAACTTGTTGGAAGAAAATATTATGTGTCAACCATCCTTATTAATTAAAAAAATTAAAAAAAAAAGTCAAACATCCTTTAATATATATAAATCTTTATTGTGGTCGGTTGACCCCTTTAATTGCAAATGAAATACTAATATATTTTAATGGTTGGTCAACCTGTTTCTTAAAATTGTCAACGTATTGATGACATCGTTGTATATATATTTGTATGTATATATATAGTATGATATTAGTATCTGACATCACTACTAATCTTTAATTAATGGTTAATATTAATTAAGGCCCACATTTTAAGTGTGAATGGAGGACCTAATTAACTCAATTTAATTAAGACATCTGACTTTCACGATTCGCCAAACGCGATTTTACCTTTTTGGGAAAGAAAAAAAAAAAGAAATATTATTTCAGATGGGATATTTCATAATTAATTGCAGTTGTAGATATATACGTAAACATTTCTTGACCACAGACTGCAAATTATAATACAGTCGTGAAAATTAAATCATGGTTGTTAATTAATTCTTCTAACTAATATATATACACAGTCATAAATTAACTCACTCACAAAAGAGGAGTGATTTCTTCAGTAAATATATTTTTTTTTTATTAATGTTTAAATGATTTTTTTTAATTAACTGCGCAGCTGGATAATTGTACGTGTCCTAATTACTTTTTTTGATGTTAATCGATGCATTAATAATAAATTGGCTCGTTCGGTTGTCTATATCGGAGTTTGAAGATACCACCTTAATTATATGGAAAAGTACTGTATCAAAGAATAATTCAAGGTGGGTGACATCAATTTGACTATAGTTAATTAATATGCAGATCGATGATTAATTAGTAGTAAATGACTATTTTAAGATTAATCTTTGAAGTTACTTAAGTAATTTTCAAGTCGTTAATAATAATTCTCTTCATTGACGGAAAGGTAGTCCATAAAATACAGCTAATTAAAAGAAGTGGAAAGTAATTGGAAAAAACCAAACATATATATTTATTATTAACCGATTTAAATATAATGACTAGTCATGTAAATAATCTTCACTGATTTAATTATATATTGATAATCAAACCTCAATTTTTCTTTTCCATTTAATTTAGTTACTAATTTTCTGCACATGAATCTTCTTTAAAGCTAACTTTTGATTTTTAACGAGGTCAATCCACAAGAAAAATCTTAATGTGAATTCCAAGGTTGATGGTTGATCGTTGACTTTTTTTTCTTTTCTTTTTTTAATTAAGATTGAATATTTATACGATTAATTATTATTATTATTGTGGGTGAAATTTGGTGGCCGGAGCATATGTACAGAAATAAAGAAGCTGGATTTTTTTGGGAAACCGATAAATTGGAACTTTTAATTAAGTTTAATATAATGGACGAAAGAGTGAGGTGCAGTGCACCGTGCATTAGGGATAGGCCTTTTATTTGCCACATCATATTCACATGTAATGTATGGGGCCATACATTTTTGAAAAAAGTTAGGCAACTATACAAAGTTGATCAATTAACTAATTTTTTGTTCATTTTTTGTATTTATTGCATCGTAGATTTATATAAATAATTACTCACTAAGCACATATACATATGTGCGTGTTATTATGTATAGATGAATGAAGCCGAATTATCCAGTGTATTTCACCGGATACAGCATATACGAAACTTAGGGGCGGCAGTTTTGCAACTTGGACCGGATCCGATCCGGATTCATGTGAATCGGATCCAAATGGAATCGGATCCTAAATCAACCTATATGAATGGATCTAATGTGGATGATCCGGATTGGATCCACATGGATCCATTCCATCTTTAATTCAACTTATGAAGTTGAATATCTCAACTTTTTGGGTTTAATATCTCAATTGATGTGGTTTAATATCTCAACTTTCACACTTACACATAATATTCACACACTTTTCACACACACACATTTCAAACACACGCACACACTTTTTTACACACACACACACTCAAATACACATACACACACTTTTTCACACAAACACACACACTCACATACACATACACACACATTTTTTCACACAAACACACACACTCACATACACATTCACACGTTTTACACACACACACTTTTGTACACACACGCGCACACACATTTACATGCGCATACACACTTTTCACACACAATCCAAGACATTTTTCACACACACACACACACATTAGGGCTAGACTTGTCCACCGCTTCGGTTAGAACCTGAACCGGAACCGGAACCGAAACCGAAAAAATGGTTCTAAAAAAAATAGAAAATATCTCTATATATATATATATATATATATATATATATATATATATATATATATATATATATATATATATATATATATATATATATATATATATATATATATATATATATATATATATATATATATATATATATATATATATATATATATATATATATATACACATATAGATATATATATATCATATATATTATTTGTGTGTGTGAGAGTGTGTGTGAAGAGCGCGTATGCGTGTGTGTGTGTGTGTGTGTGTGTGT